GTGAAATTTTAATTTTCAGCTATCACATTTCGGTAATTTCTTACTTTTTAGACGGGGTCCATGGACTAGAACACAATAACTTTTTTTAGAAAACTGCCATAAAGCAGTTTTTATTGCTATAATTTCTTTTGTTTTTTCTGTCACCAATCAATGGAATGCCCTACATCAAGAGTACATGTACTCTTGCCTACATGTATATCAATATGTAAATGATGGCCTTCACATCATATCAAGAGGTTTATGTACTCTTGATCATATCAATACCGTATTATACGCATTGATATGCAAGCCTTTTCTTGCAGAAAATGGCACGTTCTGTGGGGGAACATGTGAGTAGTGGTGGTTATACTTTTTTAGACGCAGGTCATTCTGTGCATGTTGCTGTTGCAGAATTTCATGACTCTGTCATAAATTTGTCTTGCCTTTCAGATATTTCAGATTTCCCCACCCTCTATCAGATTTATTTGAGAAATGTAGCCATGCGCCAGGTGCGTGTCGCAGATGTTTTTGTTGATTCTGTGTTTATAATGGTTTATAATCATGGGTTATCGTGATAAGGTCATCCAGCATCATATTGCACTGAAATCGTTATACAACTTTTGGAAGTAGTTCAATGACTTCAAACTGTTAGTCCCCGATTTTCTGAAACAACACAGCAAAGGAGGAACAATAAACATGTATTAAAATGTAAACAAATACATTGTTGAGTCCGACACCTCGTTCCAACAACTACACTGATCCTGAGGATAAAAGGGTCAAGGCTATGTATGGTTGGAGGTACTGATACTGAGAGATAAACAAGGCCTTCCATGATAATAAAAGCTTACACATCTTTTGGTGAGTATGAATGATATCCAGTTGAACCTCTTTAGGACGAACACCAAGGGACCAATGGTATTTATGCTGTGAGTTTGTCTTAACCTATTTTATAACCAGTGAATACAATTATTTCTCCAATAGACACACGAATAGATTTCTTCTACAGCGAAAGATTCTAAGCCACACCGACTCGTCTCGTATGAAACAAAAGAGTCACTAGAGAGGTTCTGCAAAACGAAAATGCGTACAAACTTTCGCTCTACATCATGAAGTGCGAAACTTCGCACGAACTTTCGCAACTGTGGAAGCGAAACTTGCAGGGAACGCGAAATGAACTGTCGTAGGAAATTTCGTGAGATCGGGTCATGGCGTACGTGCACTTGGCCCGCACAAACTATGAAAATGTGCAGAACGCAAAGTTCGTGCAAAAATTCGTACACACTTTCGCAAGGACTGTCGAGAAACTTCGTTCGAATTTTCGTTTTGCAGAACCTCTCTACTGAACGTTTCTTTAACAACATGACGGCAACTGAAACAGCAACAGAGAAAGTACGATACATGTACAGCACATTCTTGCAGGTACTACAAACAGATTGCAGATCGTAATTCTTGCTTTGGCGGCACGAAACTTTATTTGGGGCAGTGCAATCTCGGCGGTACTCACAAATAATAAATCAAACAGCCCAGACTCAAGTAAAGAAATCCAATCATACAAGTACGAGATCTTCACGAGACGAGACTGCACCCATTGGCTTGTTTCGTATGAAGCAAACAAGTTTACTGAACCTCTCCACAATGGAGATTTTCCCTGATATGCGAATTTATTTTGCAAACTCGGTCAATGGGTCCTTGAACCTTTCCCTCCAGATTGGGAACTGCCAACGATAGTATGCCACTGACCAGTGCCTTACTTGTAACGTTCCAATGTACAATGAATATAAGTATTTCGACAACACATTTTAACATACCGGTAAGCCTTACCGTGAACTCGCGTTCTTCGTACACTGTAGACAAGGGCAAAGAGATAAAAATGGATCTAAATCCGAATAAAATCAGCACACGTTTCCGTAAATGAAAGGGTGAGCATAAGCAAATGAATCGAAGGAAACCGGTCAACTCAGAGATCACCTGTCATCGAGCATTCCGTAAAAGGAGGCCTCGGCAGCGGAAAAGCTAAATTATTTAGAAAAGAGATCCTGTAAGCTTTTCCATTATTTATTGCATTCCGCCCAAAATCAGCACACTTTTCGTAAATGAAAGAGTGAACACAAGCAAATGAATCAAAGGGAACTGGTCAACTCACCTGTCAGTAATATTCCGCGAAAGGAGGTCTCAGCAGCGCCGAAACGAAATAAGCCAGGCCAGGAGTCGAAATATCCGAAACAGTTCATACAAGAAGCAGTTCCAAAGAAGGAAGTTCCTTGCGCATGCACATCCGAACACGGACTGCACTGCAACACAATGTCTGCCGTGCAGTGCACAGCACGCGGCTTCCACCCGTTGGTAGATCTAATACCGAGCACCTTACGTAGAGATTTACGTAGCCTAAGTGAAATACCGAGCACCTTACGTAGAAAGTTACGTAGCATAGCGGTGTCGTTTTTCTTGCCATGTGAACACAATAATAGAAAAGCTGACAGGATCGCTTTTCTAAATGTACATGTAGCACTGAACGAACGGCGAGAATCTCGTCTGAAAAATCATTCGCCACTCGTCCCCTATTATTTGCGCAACGCAAACCAACAATATTTTTAATACTTCAAAACAATTTCCACGAGTCCGTTTTAATACCATTATTTTTGAATGCGTTTTACGTCACGTCACTGCATGCCCAGAATGAAGGGGAAATCCCTCATTGAAATCTGCGCAAGCGGCTATTGAGCGACATTTGCCGCGATTCGACTTTCGAGCTCCGTAACTCTGAAATCGCACATAGTAGCGATTCAGCGATTGCTTCAATGGACAGCTGCTAGCTGGGAGTTTTCTCTTCGACCTACATATTTTAGTTTTTGGAAATAACCCAGGATTGACTGCGTTACGATCGATTGAAATTTTGAAAAGTTTCGATCACAGGGGATCGAAACTTTAGGGGTCGCACTTGGTATCATGATCAGCTCTCGACATCGCGGCCATCTTGCTTTTGACTGCATGCGCGACGCGTGCTCTTTTGGATCACGTGTGTGGTTCTCAATGCATTGTTTGCATACAAAACTGTACAAGCGCTACAAAGCTACGTACATGTATGATCAAGACCTGCAGATTTCTGTGAACAGAGTTTCTTCTTCATACTAATACCGTTCTTGTTTTGACACGGCGATGTTCTCTTTCCCCGTTCTCCTTTCAAAATAGACTTCCATTTAGTTGTAAGTCACAACAGCAAACTTACTGGTAAGTGGAGGTCTAAGGCTTGCGCGCAAGTATTCCCGCTTTGAATTCGCGTGTCAATACTCAGAACAACGACCGTGGGAATCATGCGAGTGGAGTATTTCTCAGGAGGAAGACGTTCTGTTTGCAACGTTGCTTCGATCCGCAAGGAGTATTCCAGCAACGAGTACACCTGCTACGGAAAGCGATCCTATCGGGACTTACTGACGGTATGGTTTCCTTGTTTTATGTCACTCGTATCGGTACTTTTCGTACTGCACGGACTGCACTTGTATGACACCTGTGACACAAACATCACAATCGCACGGTGTCGGCTTGAGTTGGTCTTGGAGTCTTCATGGTCCAGCAACGCGGCATCGCCGAGTCGGAGAAAGAAAGCAATGAATGTACATGAACATTGTTCCAAAACAAAGACACAGGGCAAAGCATTGCAGCAGGCAGATCATTCTGATCCCGTCCGCGCACCAAATAAACTGGAAGGCAGTCCAAGTACATGTACTTTCCGACACTGCGCGATCGCGCGAGCGGCTCGCGCCGGGCCGTCAGTGCAGTCTTCAAAATGTTCCTTGGCAGCCATCTCTTCTCCGATTTCGATGATCGAGGGCTCATTTTCTTTATTAGAATCTCCTCCGTAAATCTACCGAATCAATTTTTTCCTCAACGACATAGATTTACTGTCAGACTACTGGAAAGCAGGGCGACAACGCTCAGAAAAAGCCCTATACACGGATTTCCCTTCTACTTGACCGATTTCAAAATTTCTTTCGATAGATGTCCGCGTACTTGGCCGTCAAAACAGCCCTGCGATTTTCGACGCTGCAGCTAGAAAAACGGCTGCCAAGGAACCCTTTACAAATCGCCCAAATATTGCGATATTTTGAATTTTCCGTAACTCTGATTGGCTGCACGACCCTGACGCGCACGTGCTGCGTGCGTGATGAATCAAAAATGGCTGCGATGTCTAAGTACACAAGTGCGACCCCTGAACTTAGTTAGTTTGTTACATGACAATGACGTAGTTGTACAGTCCGTCATAAACGCCTTTGCGAGATTTGCCCAGTGCTATGCTGGGGACTCGTGCGGAGGCCTCGCTAGCGCTGTTCATTCGATCAATGAAAAACCAACCAACCAACCAACAACGGACTACTACCGACTAACAGACTACTGACTGAGTCTGTGAACTGTGGTAGGTCTACATGTAGGTGCTGAGTTAGTACAGTACGTAGTAGTTAGGATTACAAACTGAAAGACTAGTACTAATACTAATAGTACTAGTAAGTTAGTAGAGCCGGGAAAGACCTTTTTTTAGGAAAGGCCCTTTGCCTACTTAGCCCTTTGGCTCCCCCATAACTCCACTATCTAGCAATAGCCATAATTTTCGCTCAAATTGTGTCAACTTTTGGTCATAACTTACGTTCTAGTAGCCTGATTTCCACATTCTTGGGCTCTCCGGAAAGCTCTTCTCAGCGCGAACACAATGAGCCATCACCGAGTGAAATCAGAGTAGCAGGCCCAGCTCTACAGCCCAGCGAAGGTACCACATCGCTGGGAATGCCCTCAATCCCTTTCTTCTTCAGCCATTTCAATTTCCTTGCTCGCCCAGCTCTGATTTTTTTTGTACTGCCATAGCAGGTAGCCTGCACCATGATTTACGCAAAAAAATTCATCACAGGTACTTGAGAACAAGGGGAATTCCCCGGTTCATGCTCAAAAATGTGCTCGGAACGAGAAAAGTGCCGTCCTCCAACTTTCGAGTGCGATATCTCAACAACCGTTGGAGCTACATCATGTATCGTGAAAACGATTGCACCAACGGAAAGCTGAGGACTTCAGCTACACCCTACATACTTCGATTTTCACGATAGTGCAATATTTGAATGAGTTATGGCTGTTTGAAGTCATCGACGGAATACCGTCGAAATTTGTATAGTGGGGAGCCAAAAGGTTAGTACTTTTCTCCCGCGAGGGTCATCCGGCTAACATCGTATCCTCCGAAAGAATCGACGCGAGTTGCGCGTTGCCACGGACAGTGGGGAAGGTTGGAGCAGCAGCGTGCCAGCTCGACTTGATCAAGACGAAGAGGCGTTCCAGTCCAGTCTGAGTGCAGTGTTGCGGGGATAGCTGCTCGACCCAACACTCAACACGATCGTCCTAGGACAGGTGTAGGTATTACGCGGGCAGCAGATACACAACCGACTCAACACATGGGGGAGCTGGTGAGTTTTTTAATGCGATTAGTTAGGTTTCCAACCCTCTTACTTTTAGCTTGCAATGACTATGTGCAGGGCTTGAAACTGATTGCAATGAATCAGTACTGTACTCTGTAGACTGTAGTCAGTTGTGAATCATGACTCCTGCTTGGGTATACTTTCATATAGGGATCCACTCCCAGTTCCATGGGCAGGGGCAGGGGGGGGGGGGGGGGGTAGTAATTGAAGTACACTGCACAGCAAGTGTTGGGTGCTGAAGAACGGAGCGTGGGGGGGGGGGGGGGGGAACGAGCAGGCTAGCAATTATTTCACCAAGCTGTACAGCATACCTGCAACATGTATTCACGTTGACTCTGCTGTGCATAGACTGACTGTACTTCAAGTAGTACAGGTCCTCCCTCATTAGTAGATAATCTCTGGGCCATCGAAAAAGTTATCTTATATTATCATTATTATTATACAGGTCCTCCCTCATTATAACGAGTCCGGTTAGTACATAAACCCCGTTAGTAAATAGAAATCTGAAATCCCCTGGCGAAACGTGGTCTATACAACTGTTTACAGGTCCGGTTACAACATAATCCGTTAGTACATAAAATTCGTTATAACGACCCTTTGCCTAGGTCCCTGGAGTGCCAAACCCTCAGTATAAGATAATACTGACCATGCAGGACCAAGGCCAAAACACGTAGGATAAAGCAGAAAGACGAAACGTAATATATCTATGTATTTGTGAATATGGACGATCCTTTGCATCCAAGGAAGAGCTATGTTGGAGATTTTCCATTATCTTATAACGAGTTGAAGCATCGATAATTTATGTTGTATCGAGGGTAGCCCCGGTAAGTACAAAGTAGTGCCTATTTCACCGTTAGCTGCAAGTCCTGCAACAAGATAAGTCTCGTTATAAGATAACTTTTTCGATGGCCCAGAGATTATCTACTAACGAGGGAGGACCTGTATGCACGTACGTGTTGCTGGTGCCCACATTGGATGGAGGGTGCCCAGGTTCGCATGTGCCAAACTGATTATGCCAACGCCTCATGACGAAAACAAACAGAGAGAAAAAAATCGTGGGGAAACGAATAGCTTATCTTATAACGAGACTTGTCTTGTAGCAGGACTTGCAGCTAACGGTGAAATAAGCACTAACTCGTACCTACCTGGGCTACCCTCGATACAACATAAATTACCGACACTTCAACTCATTATAAGACAATTGAAAATCTCCAACATGACTCTTCCTTGCATGCCAAAGTTTGTCCATATCTACAAATACATCGATATAATACGTTGCATCTTTCTGCTTTATCCTACATGTTTTAGCCTTGGTCCTGCATGGTCAGTATTATCTTATGCTGAGGGTTTGGCACTCCAGGGACCTGGGAAAAGTGTCGTTATAACGAATTTTATGTACTAACGAATTATGTTGTAACCGGACCTGTAAACAGTTGTATAGACCACGTTTCGCCAGGGGATTTCAGATTTCTATTTACTAACGGGGTTTATGTACTAACCGGACTCGTTACAATGAGGGAGGACCTGTACATGTGAATAAGAACGGTCTAGGCTACAAGCCTGGCCCGTCACTGGCCTCTGGTTTTCGGCAACCGACCATACTGCAACCTCTATACTGCTCGCAAGTGATCACATCATAAGTCAAAATTTAACAATAAATAACAACTTCAGCCCCGCCGCGTCTAGTGCCCATTGCCAATAACAGTATGTGGTGCGTAGGCACGTCGTCGTGTCGCATTCTGGTGTGAATGGTTTTGTAGCGGGAGTGGGCTTCCGGCAGGGAGGCCTATTAATTGTAGGCCAGATAATACCGACAGATGTATCACATTGCTGTGAAGGCAAACCACCCAAACGTGTATAGATCCATGCCATACTGACAGAATCCAAGTGGATCCAAAAGTCAGCAATGTCATGACTCCGCATTTTCAAACCCTGTTCCCAAATAGGCAGTGCCGGGTTAGAGGTGGGATACTACCATATTACTAGGTCTTCCTTCTACTCCAGCGACTACTCCAGCGACTACTCCAGCGACTACTCCAGCGACTACTCCAGCGACTATACCCGACTATACCCTACTCCATCTTATGTCGGTTTGTACATGTTTATGTGTCTGTATCCCGGATGAGTGTGCCTGTGCGTGTACATCAGTGTCTGTGTGTCTGTGTGTCCCTCTCTTTTCTATCTTTCTGTATCTCTCTCTCTTTATCTATCTCCTCCCCCTCTCTCTCTCTCTTTCTCTCTCTCTCTCTCTCTCTCTCTCTCTCTCTCTCTCTTTTCTCTCTTTCTCTCTCTCTCTCTCTCTCTCTCTCTCTCTCTCTCTCTCTCTCTCTCTCTCTCTCTCTCTCTCTCTCTCTCTCTCTCTCTTCCTTTTCCTGTGCAGTATTCTCGCTAGGCAATGCTGAACGCTAAAGGAGGCTCGTCGTGACGTTCCAAGTGACGGGCTATTCACAATCACAACCATGCCTCCACGTCGGGGGATTCGCCCTCCAATGGACTTCACGGAAACTTCTGGCAGGGGCAACTCCACCTCAAGCACAAGCAGCAGCAGCAGCGATGATGACGAATATGACGGTGATGAACACGCTGATGAATCCATGGACTGCTCCGATTCATCTGATGAGGATGCATTCTCAGCTCGCTCCTGGACTCGCACAATGGCCGTAGTCGAGACGGTTTTCTTTCCGCGTCGCTTACCGGACAAGTTCTCCTATGCTGATATACATTCACAGTACAACTTCTATGAAACGTCTGTTTTAGAAATATTTGCCGACCTCAACCATGATTTACTGCCGGGAAGAATTGAGCGCATGCTGCGTACGTGGAGTGCTAATTACCGACCAAGTGCTAGGTCACTGCGTGAATTGGGAAGGGGCATGCGTCCCGGAGACTTCGTCCCGATGTATCTTCCAGCACAGAATGCCGCACTGATGTTCTTGGGGCGAGACGATGATCTGGTGGACGTGTGGGGTTTTGACGTTCAGCCGCCGGCCGGCATAGTCGTGACCGCGCCCGGGCCGCTTACGGTACATCAGCCCCGTCTGTGTGTCACCGCGCCGGTCTCAGACGTATTCTCCATGGCAATGGCAGAGCAGATATGCTGCATGCAGGAGCATGCCTTCTCGGATGCCTTCCCGGCGGACGATGCCAGAGAGCGGCAGGCCCCTAGCTCTAGATATGTGCTAGAATGGCTTTTCTCCGTTCTGGCCGCCTTGCAGCGGCCGTGCGCTGATAATGCCGACACACGGGTGATGGCGGTCAGCAAGAAGATACGTGATACGGTCAGACACCGTGCCGAGGAGACAGCTGCTGCCGCGGCGACTTCACACCCCTGGCGACGTAATCCGGCTTGGATGGCGTTCAAGTTTCTCCTTCACACGGCGCTGACACACTGCGACGGTGGCCACCTGCCGGGCACTGTTGTCTACAAGACGGCCATGCTTCGCTTCATGACAAAGCTACTGGAAAACAGCGCGGGCAAGTGCGATGCTGACCACCACCGCGTGGAGTATGCAGATGATGCCGGCGTCCTTCAGCAGATGATGGCGAAAATCAGCAAGCGCGTCCACAAGCTATCCTGCCTCGTCCTACAGCCTGGCGTGTCAAAGCGCTTAGCGGCTAAGGCACGCAAAGCAATGGACCACTCGGTTACCGTAGTTGAGCAAGTCAGCAGCACGCAGCAGACTCGGTGGCGTAGCGTTGTCAGTCGCTACCGGGACAGCTCACAAATTGCCGGCGAACTGCCTCGTGATCGCAGCGTCTGTCTGCCGCTGAGCGCCTCACATCAGCGCATCGATGCCTTGCTGGGCCCAGGCAGGAAAGCTGAGAAGTTTGCCTCGGCGGAAATGGAGAGGCATGCCGATGAACAGGCTCTACCGCTTGGTGATCTCCTGTCGTCATACCGATCAGCAACGAGCATGTTCATTGGCCTGCATGCTTGGGAAGAGACGTTGTTGCAACGCTTTGCAAGGGGTGCTGATGAGACACTCCCTGCCGCCACCGCGCTCTCATACCTAAACGCCTATCGAGCCGCTACCGAGGAGATCTATCTGCGAGGGGACGCGATTGCGCAAAGCCGGCGTCTCCTGGTCGCCTCAGTGCTGATGACAATGTGTGACCGGGGTGTGCTGGCCGATTACCCACTGCTCACGAAGCACGCCGCCGACATTGACATCACGCCGCTGAAGAGCATCCTGGCAGCAGACTTCTGTGACATGGCGGCCCTTGCGCGAGTGGAGAAGCACTTCCGGCGCAGGCAGGCCAAAGGAAAACACCCAGGACCACTGCAACGACAGGTCACAGGCGATTCACTCTCTGTCAGGTTTTGTGATAGCTCTGCACACATGCCGAAGCGTTTGGAGGCTCTTCTCGAGGCCGATTCACGCAGGGAAAACCAGCACCGCCACGATGCTAGAGCTGCCATTGCTGCCTTCAAGGTCCGTGAGCAAGAGCTTCAATCTGAGGTATGCGATAAGCATCGCACACTAGATGAAGACACTGGTGAATGGATAAAGATGCATCTGCCGAAGAGCTGCTCAAAATGCAGGGAGCAGAAAGCCCTCAGAAATAGGCACCATGACGTGTTTGAACGTCAACTGCCGCACGATTCTAACTTGCGGCAAGCGGCCGTCTTTGAGCTGTGCATTCCGTCTGACGTGGAAAACTGGCGTGAATGCGTACTCGTTTACAATGAGTCGTATCTCCACTCTACGCCGAACAACAGAGGGCAGAAATCATGCCGGTATGACTGGGTAAAGCACCTGTCTACTCAAGGAACTTCACCCAGTAGATCTATTGTTCTTGCCAGTAAGACCTCTCCACAGGCATGTGCGAAACGAATCCAAGATGCCAGAGTGGACGACTTTGTTCAGCCATGTACCCTCAACGGTGTCCTCGCCAAGGACAAATCACCAATGCCGACGCTGACGGTGCAAGAGGAGGCCATACACAAACTCTGCACTTTGGATTGCGGTAATGGTTCATTGCAGCCTTACCTTGCCACAACCAATCACCATCAGAGTAGAGTCATCGCCGAGCAAGGCAACTGCCCGGAGTTCTTCGGCGTGCAGGAGTTTGTCGCATTTGGCAGCGTGCGTGCCGGTCACCTCCTGCAGTGGTTCAACATCCTGCGAGGCCTTCACCAGCGTACGCTGCTGCTACACCGCGTGGAAGTGGTGCAGCTGATAGCACAGAGTGTGTGGCAGGCGGAGGAGAGTGATTGTGGACGGCCGGTGGGCGCTGCGATACGCAATGCACACCGGCCGTGCCGGGATGCGGCGTTCGTCCGGGAGTTCACTGCCGAGCTGTGGCGCGTCTTGGAGAGCGTCAAGGCAAACTGGGCGCATCATTGGTCACTCTGTGCTGTCGTCATTCTCGCTAATCGCCTGCTCAATTTGCAGGACTGGCTGCGCGAGGACGACGCGGAAAACGACGGTGTCCAACAGCTCTGCAAGATCCTGTACGAGTGCCGCCGGGTGGCAATCAAATGGCTGGACAAGATCCGGGTACTGCTCCAAGATGTCACCGGTGACTCGGCAGGAAGGCTTCAGAGAGCGTCGGCTCACATTGCCACGTTCGGCACGCTGACGTACAGCCACTCGGTGGGCCTGCTTGGCAACGACGACTCGCCGCTGTTGCGCTGGCTGCTGTTCGTCACCGCCCAGCATGGCAATACTGTTCTGAACCAGAGCCGGGTGCATGGCTTCCACGAGTGCCTGATGAAGCAAGCACTGCGCACTGCGTACAGCATGCACAGCGAGTTTGTCACCGCTCTCAGCCGGAGGGAAGCCGACGGCTCCCATCGCGAGTTAGACCACTTCATACGGGCATTCTACAAGGACGGCCGCGCCTCAGCACCGTTCACTGTCCACACTAAAAATCGCCTGTGGGTCAAAGTCAAGTGGGGTCCGTGTGGTTCAGGCCAAGCCGGCGCCATGGAAACCGTGCAGATCGACTTCCGCGAGGGACAGTGCTTCATCAATGGCTTGCCCCCCGATCGCCTCCCAGCCAAGATCACGAGCAGCAGCTTGTTCAGTCGCCATTTTGGCAGCACCGTCTTTCTGGTCAAGCCGTGCACAGGCCCACATGAACAGGTTGCGCAGACGACTAATGCCATGACGACGGGTCCGGTTGCCAACAGTGATGGGCACGATGACGGCGCCGCGTCCGAACCTGGCAGGATTGGACCGTTTGAGTTCGCTACCCGTGACAGACGCGGCAACGAAGAGCTCTGCATCTACGAGCGTCGAGCCGACGGTAGCACACTGCTTCTCCTGGATCAGACATGGTTTTCTGGCGAAAGATCAGCCGATCTGCCCATTCTACTCATTGAAAAGCACAGCTTCTGGATTGACATCGACAAAAAGAAGATCTTTCTCAGACCGGTGTACTTCCGAGACAAAGGCTTTGCCAACATCGAGGCGTGTGACTACGTCCTTGATTTCGACAGGCAGTGGCTGCGTGTGTGCAAGCATGCGGCTATTGGTGTCTCTCCTGGCTCCCGGTTGCTTGATCCAGGATGTCCCCTGGGTGGCTACGTGCTGGAAGTTATGCAGCGGATTGAGCAGGCACAGTACGTGGAGATGTGGCTGCACGGCGTAAGGCTGGAGATCCGCTTGCCCCGCCTGGGTCTGTCGTTCTGCATTAGCAATATCACTGCAGCGACGGTCACAGCTTCTGTTCCTGCTTCTTGTTCTGCTGCTGCTGCTGCTGCTGCTGCTGCTGCTGCTGCTCCTGCTGCTGCTGCTGCTCCTGCTGCTGCTTGTGGCGGTGGTGGTGGTGGTGCTGCTGCTGCTGCTCGTGGTCGTCGTGATGGTAATGGTAGCCATGATGACAGTGGCAGCATCAGCTCGGTGACGTCGGATGCAATCAGGCTTGACGACGACAGCGACTGGTGTGTGGATACTGACCAGCACATCGGCACCCTGCTCAATCTCTCCTCTGGTCTAGTCCTCGTACGACATGCCGGCGAACCGTACGAGGAGCGCTGCTTTCTCCTGCCGCATGGCAAGCCCAAGTTTTCCCAAGCCGGCCGGGGAAAGGAGGGCGGCGTCAAGATAGACCTTGAGCGGCTGCATGAGCCGAGTCTGCTGCGCTTCACCGTAAACAGGTATCTCCAGCAGTTGCAGGCGCCAGCCTGCCTGGTGGCGTGGCTCTTTCTGGCACTGCTGCATGGCATGACATCGTCGGTTCATCGCGACCCATTCACCGGCCTTACCGGCATGGAGATGTCCATGGTCATCCTGCAGTCGGCTCGCTGCTGGTCCAGTTCTCCGCTGGACACCGACTGCGTACAGTGGCTGCACTCCATTGCTCGCCTGTCACCGGCGCGATGCTACTACCCGGAGCGCGAGAAGCTGAGTCAGACTGTTCGCTGGCCGGCTGGCATACCGTCGTACTGTGCCAGCGATGCGTACCTGATCATTACCGACAGGATTTTATCGTTCAGTGGGAGCCTGGGTTTCGTCTACCCCGATTCGGATGAGTCGCGAGAGCGGAGGAAACTGGAGCATAAGCTGCACGGCCACTATCAACGCGACCTGTACGTGCCGGAGTACATGCGCCACTGCGACCATCTACCTCTGCTGGCGCGCCTTCAGACAGCATACGTTGTGGATTTCAAGACCTCGGAAACCCCTGCCTTTCCCGATGCTCTAGGCGTTCGGCAGGCTGTCTGGTCGTCCACGAGGCGTGTGATGAGAAGGGATGGAGCGTCAGCGGCCGTTGCAGTCAGTGCAGATGCATTGGAAGGTTTGCTACTGGAGACGAATGCTGACGGTACACACATGATATTCCGACGAAACTTTGATGACGATGACGACGACAATGACGACGACGACGATGGAGAAGGTGACTCTCCGCTACCGTCCTCGTGTCGAGAGTGGACTGGAATCAAACTGCCGAAAGACTTTATGGCGCTACACGGCTACATCAGCGCGCGCAAAGACAGCACCTACAGGCGTCATCTCTCTCTCATGCTGTCGTTCTTGCATTACACGGACAAACATAACAGGATGTTACTCTATGTACTGGAGGGTATTGCAGTGTCATCGAGCGACGTCGATGTTCCGGGTCTCAGGGAGTATCCGAAATCAGCTCCGAAGGACATGCCCAGCTATACTTACTTTCTAAGCCCCGAGAAGTACATCACGTCTGAAGTTACCTTTCTGAAACGACATGGCCCGAGACCGCTGAGAATTGGAATGTTTGCCTCGGAATCTGAGAAAATAGAGTACCAGAGGCTGAGGGAAGATGTGCGTTGCCGGTATCAGCAGGAGATGAGTAGCATCAAGCAAGCTATTGAGAAGGACGTCAAACGGGCAACGGGTCTGTTGGCCGATGGTCCCCATTTCTACTTCAACCCTCTCCCACCCGATCTGCCGATGAAGTTCAGACTGTCCGACAGCGAGTGCATTAATGATCTGGAATACCGGAAGGTCTTTCACTCGCAACTCACTTCGGTCAATGCAGCACGCATCTTAAGGCTGTACGTCGAAGATGTGATCAGGTTGATCGGATGCGATGGCCCGAGTAGACCACTTTCCCGGCAGCAATCCCGTCGGGGCATCGTTTCCAGCTGCAGTGTTACAAGCATTGCGGAGCGGCTACTCACTCAGAACACACAAGTGCATATTATCAAAGCCGCAGACAATAGCAGTGGAGTGCACAATTATCTCGAGGGGCGGGTGCACTACAACGCGCGAGAACAAACGGGACGGAAACGAGCTCGGCATGCGGGCATTGCGCAACGTACCTGGTCCAATCTGGAGGACGTGAAACGCAAGCTGCATGACGAGCAAGGTTCACTTGCCGTAAGATTCGCGAAGAGTTTCTCAGACAGCTTTACTGCTCTGGACAGGTTCTCGCCGGAGGAGGGGAAGCTACCGGAGAGTGAACGCGGCCTAGTGACTTCACTCCGGCAGGCGATTACAAACTGCGACAAGAAGAGACGGTGTGTGCAGAATATGATCGTCAAGAGCGCCGCCACGAACCGTGGGCTGCAGGCGATGCACGCGTGCGGCCTTCTGGCGCGTGATGTTCCGCTGATGCTCCTGCTGCAGCTGCTGCCACACGGCGGGCCGACGACACCGGAGCTGGTGAGAACGGAGTGGTTGAGCACGGCGCGGCACCTGATCGGCGCCTGGGCCGAGTGCATGGTGGTGGTGCAGCGGTGGGCACGTATCGTACGTCTGTGCCGTGCCAAGGAAACCGACCTGCTGCGGCGCGAATGGTGCAACCCACCGCACGCCTCCTGGGCACCGTGCAGGCGTGACGAGTGGCTGCTGTTTGAACTGGAAAACGACGTTTGCATCTGGAAACAGCAGGTGGATGTGGCGGAGAGGATGATTAACCCCGGTTCGGCGGACGGCCACCGCCACCACCACCACCAGCAGCAGCAGCATGTCGTCATGCAACTTAATATGGGCGAGGGGAAAACTGCCGTCATTCTCCCTATCATCGCCGCCCAGCTGGCCGATGGACGAAGCCTAGTGCGTATTATCGTTCTGACGTCGCTACTCAACACCAACTTCAATCAGCTCGTCTTCAAGCTAGGTGGATTGCTGAATCATCGTGTTTTCTCGCTGCCAGTCCGTCGCGATGTTCCCATCACGGTGCGCGACGCTGAACGGCTCGAGAAGTTCCTGCGCGTTGCCCGGCAACGGAGAAACGTCATGGTAACCGTGAGAGAGCACGTGCTGTCGCTCAGGCTCAAGTACCTAGAGGCATCGTACAGCGGTGACTTGGGGCTGGCCAAAGCTCTTGGCAACGTAATGCGGGCCCTCGCGCAGTACGCTCGCGACGTCTTGGACGAAGCCGATGAAGTGCTGCATCATCGCTTTCAACTTGTCTACCCGCTGGGTCAACAGCAGCCGCTGGACGGTAAAGAGGTACGGTGGGAAGTTGCCCAACTTGTTCTGCTGGCGGTAAAGGAGCGGATTGGCAGAGTTCACGAGCAGTTTGCAGGCGGCATAGACTGTACCCAGGACGACCGGCTGCGACAGAAATTTCCGACGGTTCGCATTCTCGAGTCGTCCAGCGCCCAGAGAGTGTACCTGAGTTTGTGCGAGGAGGTTGTAGATTTCATTTTCTCCGGTGTGGGCAATGCGACATGCTCCGAGCTCCGAGACCAGCTGCAACGCATGAGCCGCGAGGAGCGTTGTTTCTTGAACCGGTTCCTACTGTCGGAGAACCTCGGAAAGGAGGCCGCAACCCGTTTTCAGGCGACTGTGCCAAGATGCATCACACCACTGTTGCTGGTGCTACGCGGTCTCCTTGCTACGAGTGTGTTGAAATTGGCATTGACCAAACGCTATCGTGTTGAGTATGGTCTAGTCTCAACTACAGCCGCATCTAACACATCGCGGGACCGGAGATCGAAGGGTGGCGGCCGTGGGAGCGGCCGAATCTGTCGTATGGCGGTACCTTTCCGGGCCAAGGACGTGGCGGCCGAACGCACGGAGTTTGGCCACCCGGACGTGGCTATTGTGCTGACGTTGATCAGCTATTATCAGCACGGTCTCACACGCCAGCAGATTGACATAGCTCTGGACAAGCTGGCACAGGACGAGGCCAAGAAGAGCATCTGGGCACGGTGGGTGCAATCCGCAGCACCGTGTGCGCCTCAAGCTGCACTCGCGCGTGGCCCTTGTACCAGTGGCAGTGGTGCTCGCGGTGACACTGAGCATGGCTACCAAGACGAGGACCTGCGTGGCATTCAAGACTACGACGGTGTCAATCGTCACGACCCCAAGCAGATGAGCGGCGTCGTGTTCCCGTTCTTGCGCTACCACATGGACGCAATCAACTTCTTCCTCAACTCGGTCGTATTCCCGGGAGAGGCGAAGGAGTTTGCGAGCAAGCTGGTGGCGAACGCCTGGACGATGACGTCGAAACGTAGAAAGAAACTCGTGACCGGGTTCAGCGGAACTAGTGATACACAGGATCTTCTACCAAACACCACAGTCCAGAGAAACCTACCAGAGCTGCAACACACCGACGCGTACGTGTGTAGTTTGGTGCTGAAGGACGCGAACAACTGCTACCATTCCTTGCCGGCTGGATGCGACGGTGCAGAGTTTATCAACACGGTTGTCAAGTCCTCACGATGTCCTGCGCGTGCATGTACCGCAGGTGGTTACGACATCGACGCCATCATCGACGCCGGAGCTCTTGTTCTCGACCTGCCGAACGAGCGGCTGGCCGAGCTGTGGCTGCAGCAGCGGCCGGACAAGCAGGGCGTCGTCTACTTTGGCGACGCGGACCGCCTGTGCGTGCGCCAGCGCGGTAGCCGCCGTGCGTGCCAGCTGGAGCTCAGTCCGTACGCCAGCGATCTGGGCAAGTGCCTGGTGTACCTGGACCACGCACACTGTCGCGGCACGGACCTGCGAATGGTGGAGAACACGAGGGCGGCGGTCACACTCGGTAAGAATCTGCGTCGAGACGAGCTGGTGCAGGCGTGCATGCGCATGAGACGTCTCAGCAGCTCCCATTCGGTGAGTTTCTGGGCAACGCAAGAAGCCGACACGCAGATCCGTCATCAGCTGGATTTGAGACTTGAGGGTAGGCAAATCCAGCACAAACATGTTCTGCTTTGGAGCTGCTTGAACAGCATCAATGCTACGAAAGCTGCCTTCTACTCCTGGGCCAGCCAGGGCCTGGTTCATCTCCGCACTGAGCAGGCCCTTGCGCTGTGTGATAGCGACCGCAGGGTGGGAGAACAGTGCCGCCAGCCGGACTGCCAGTCGCTGAGACTGATGTACGGCTGTGAGAGATCCCGACAGCCGGTCAGTGCCATCATCCGCCAGAAAGGCCGGGACGTTGCCGGAGCTAAGGAAGTCATCAGGCACTGTGAGCGCTTGGTGCCCAACGTAGAACGCTTTGCACAAGAGCTGAGCGAGGAGCAAGAACGAGAGCTGGAGCAGGAGACAGAGGAAGAACGACAGCGTCAGTTACCGCCAGCTCAACGACCAGTGGTCGAAGTTCTACCGGATTATCTACGGACAATGGCTCAGTGTGGCTCAGAGGGGGTGCGCGAGGGAGAAGGAGATCTGGTCCAGATTTGGAAGTGCTTTGCTGACACATCGCTGTCCAGAAGCGGCTTCAGCGAGGTCATACCGCAGGAGACCTGGTCATGCAGTGCCAACCTCTGGGCGACCGAGTCATTTCGCCGTACGGTGGAAACGGCACGGACGGCCGGTGGCAACCGTGACGCTTACATTAGACCCGTGGAGTGGCTTCTGTTGACACGGCAACCCCGGAACGATGCGGTGATAGTGCTGATTAGCCCGTACCAAGCCAACCGCCTGCTAGGGATTCATAATGAAGACAGCGCCAGTTGGAGCAAGTCAACATCACTGCTAATGCACGCCACCACGAACCATAAGACGCAGTCGATAATGTCAGACTGGCAGTTTAGCATTGCCGGACGACGACCCCTGCCCCCGCTGTCGACATGTTCCGTACAGCAGAAGGCGATGTTTGCGGAGCTCCTCTGCTTCTCCGGAGGCTTGTTCTTCGGTCCCCAGCCGGTCGATGAGGTGTCAATGATGTCAGCCATAGCACATGTTTTTTGCCTTAAACCCGGCCCCGCTGGGACGAGTGGCACAACTGTTAGCTACACCGGTGCCGGGACAGACGCATTGCCGCCGTGCAGCGGAGACATCTCAACTGTAAGCCGGCGTCGAGCCCGTAACCCCAGGCAACCGAGCGGCGCCTGCCCGATCGAGTTTCTTCGCCGCGTCTACGCCGTGCTGCGCTCCGGCAAGAGCCTGGAGCTGAGCGACATGGGAAGTCTGTTGCTTCGCCGCTGCTGGCCCCGAGCGGATGGTGAACATCGTCACTCGGCCAGCGCTGACTTGTAGCTGTCCAGGGCAACGACGTGCTGTTGCATCGTTGCCACTAGTCTGGTGAGTGCGGGGGCTGTCACCTTTCTGTGAGTACTGAACGGGTCAACACACAGGCGCGGTGTGGCAGGGCCGGAGGCCGCTTCCGCGGAGCGGTGCGGCCGAAGGGCCATCTTTGAGGGGGGGTCCTCCCGCAGAAATATTTTGGAATTTAGACGGCAAATCCTGCACTCTGGGCGCATTTCGGTGCATCTTCTGGGTACAACTAATCGTTACTTGCAAGTCTGATATTTTAATGCAGAATACACTAGTTTCAACGTGAACACTATAGCCAGAATGTGCATTAGCTATGATAGTATTGTATGTAGTTTACTGGAAGAATGCTCCTTATTACGACTCCCTGTACAAAATCATACATCGAAACTTTTTCTCCCCAGTTTTGGACGTTCCACGTGGACCGACTTTTTGGGAAGTTGGTACGGCCATGGCCGCACTAGCGCCGGCCCTGTGTGGGGAGGGGATAGATACACTATTGTCCGGTGCCGAAAAACGACCAGGTTAGGATTTCACCGAGCACAGCATACCAATACATACACGGTGACTCAGCTGCGCATAGACTGTGATACCTGAAAATGAGAACGGGCTAGGAGGCTGACCCCCAGTTCTTCGGCGACCGACAGTGCTATAGAGGTTTTTCCAGGACGCCTTTCCCGCCACCGCCCCGGCGATCACCCTGAGATTGTGGTGAACAGGTCACATATCAAAATGCATTGAAAATGTGACAGGTTCGTCTCCACCAGCGCTTGGAGCGATTATTCTGAAGCTTGTTCTTTATCGCCCAAGCCATGGAAGGGCTTCCTGGCAACTGCTCTGACTCAACACGAGTGTCGGACATCAAGTGGAGCGCCATTCTACTGCTTCTGTCACCTCCACACATCCATTCCCGTACAAAGTGAACGTGAGCTGGGCTTCGCCTGTTCACCAGCGATTCAAAAATTACTCGCACGTGACCCCAAATAGTGATCGTTGGTACAACCTTGAAAAGCTCTATCCAGAATAACAGTACCCCATTTAAAAGGCAAAGATTTCAATGGTCCAAAACATCAGATTGGAGCACTTTCGTTGGCAATCGAAGTAGGATAGTGAAACTGATTTTCGGTCGGCTTGTCGGAACGCCCTGTAAAAAAAACAGTGCGTTTCCGAAAAGCCGGAACAAGTGGTAGCACTGTGACTAGTTATATGACGGCAAGAGTACATATATGGTGGGTTATATACTCTTGATGACGGTTGTTACGTTCCCCTTCGGGACTCAGACATACATCCTCTAGTTGCATGCTTACATGCTCTCGCAAATGATCACGGACTCACAAGTCCACATACATGTAGGTTTGTTGCCCGGTTAGGTAAGACATCAACAACAATAGGTAAGACATCAACAACAATAGGTAAGACAACAACAACAACAATAGGTAAGACATCAACAACAATAGGGAAGACATCAACAACAATAGGTAAGACATCAACAACAACAATCAAATTCGAGCATGCTCAATATAATTGTGCTACGAAGGCGAGACCAAAAAAAGTAGAGATTCCCGCCCGGGCCCTCCCGCACCAAAATCGAGCCGTAGTCATTTTTTGTTTGTTGAACATTGTATGTACAGCACTGATGGCATGAGACGGTGACAGGGGGAGTCACACAAACTTGGGCTTGTACGACTTCGTTATATACGACTCAGGGCAGTCGTTGGCCTATATACAAACCAATGTACGGGTAAAAGTTACCGAGAATAAATGAATAAATGCGGCAATGGGAGCACGGAACGTGCATCTTGACATACCGTAATGCAGCAGTAATATATTATTCGATGGAAATCAAGAATATGCGGGCAGATACGCTACAGTACTTCCGTCTATTCTAGTGTCATGGGCTTTTCAATGACTGATTTTGACCGAATACAAGCTCAAAACCCACTTCAATCTGGAGTTGTGAATCTGTTTCAAAAGGCTTCTTATAACTTGCCATGGCATGCCTCTCCGGATTTTCGTAAAGTCTGGCCGAATTTCAAACTTTCCATCCTTGGTTTTTTCCGGCCTCATGACACCAGGTGCATTCGTTGTGTTGGATTTAACCTGCACGGCTTTGTATTCCAAGGAACTGAAAGCATTTTCCGACTGTGCACTTGTGTATGCGTTCATGTGTGTCCATGCCCATTTGGATCCGTGTGTGTGTGTGTGTGTGTGTGTATGTGTGTGCGTGTGTGTGTGTGTGTGTGTGTATATGTATCTGCTGTGCTGCTCAGAGATGGCATACACGACAACTGCTTGAGCAGCCGCCGTGGAAGACTGTGAAGTGTGAAGCTATCCGGTAGCGGAGGGAATTCCCCTGTGTGGAGCTTGTTTCCAGGCATAGTCTTCTCTGGTGTGTATCGCTAGTAGCTGATCAGCCATGTCCTTGGCGGTAACATGCATTTGGGGTTAGCGGAAAATACCGTTAATTCTACAATTCTTCCTCACCCAGCACCACCGCCGCCACCTCCATTTTGCACTTTTCCCTTTTGTGGAGTTTGCCTTTTTGATTAATTTTAATGTCTCATCAATCCTTTAGTTCACACACTGTGGGCAATTCTGATGTATTTCTAAATCGGCTCATTCCTGGTTTTCAACCCCGTATACCATTATTTAATATGTAGAATTTTTTTCTCTTCAGTGAACTCGGCGAACTTGGTAATGCGGCTGCTGCAAGCCGGATTCCGATATACTTGGTTTCCATGGTTTTCCATGACTGAGCAGTGAACATGGCTATAGCTGACCTGACCATGATCAATTGAAAGGTGGAATGGATTTTATGTCTCAAACTACCTGGCGTCACTTATTAAATCAACTGGCCCAAAGCTGCTGCTAACACTTCGTCATGTATTATTATTTAAAATTGCTATCTGATGCGCTTGGATGCTTGTCACTGCTTTGAGATACAGCATATTATTTTACTTGTAGCCTTTCTCTTCTATACGTGATGATACATGTTCACACTTGATTTATGGCTGTGCCGCCTCAGTCACTCTCTCACACCAGCAGACTGAGTTCCGGGTCCAAAAGGTAGTTGGTGAATTCTGCACGCGGTCCCATTGTAGTTCCTGTGGCATGGGGGGGGGGGGGGGGGGATAGGGGAGTAGGGTCTGGCGGCACTATTGTCCCCCACCTGGCAGCTCAGAGCGACCTGCCCACCCGGTCCACCCCGGAGGCGCATCCACCCGCCTCTGCACAGCGGCCGTAACGGTGGACTACAACTCCCGTGTCGTGCCATGCCAGGAGCGGCGGAAGCAGTTTTCGTTTGGTCCCGCCATACCCTAGTCTTTCATACAGTTTGTGTATGATATGGAGGGTAGTCACATGACTTTCATACAGTTTGTGTATGATATGGAGGGTAGTCACATGACTTTCATACAGTTTGTGTATGATATGGAGGGTAGTCACATGACTTTCATACAGTTTGTGTATGATATGGAGGGTATACACATGACTTTCATACAGTTTGTGTATGATATGGAGGGTATACACATGACCCCCTCAGCAATAAACACACGTCGGCAGCCAAAAGGTTGGTCCGGTCATGGCCTGATCAACCGCACCGGTTCCACCAGGCCCCCGGCATGGTGCATTGTGCCCAGGGACTGTTGTCATGATCATCGGAGACCCTGCTATAAAGGAGCCTGCTTATGATACATGATGTCCACTGTGCCGGACTGACGCCGGTGCTGACTTAGTTAGTTCAGCTCACAGGTAGACCACAGATTGAGTACAGAGGTAGAAGGATTGGATACAATAATAATAACAACGCCGCAGTAATGGAATATTATTAATATTGTGCTACACTAATGTTCGGTCCGCTGCTGTCTCTTGATGAATCTTTCCGCCGGGCCGTTGTTCTAGTTCAGTATCATAAAATATGAATAAATAATAATAATTAGCTGTAGACCATCGCTCTCCATACCGGTTTGTCCCTTGCATGCCCGCTCAGTCGCCAGGTCGAGATCCAGGACTGTGGTGAAAGTCATTCCGGCCCGCTCTCTCATGTCCTCCGCAACGCTGGTTGCCAACGTCTTTCTTGGCGGGGCGCCTTGGCCGGCCTCGCGACTCTAGATATAAGGCTGGCGGCAAGAGTAGATAAACAGTGTTTATCTACTCTTGCTGGCGGTTATGTGCTATCATCGATCACCGGCTACAAAGTCCACATGTCACGTGACAAGTTAGCAGCTCGGATTTCCAAAGCCAAAAGTGACCTTTCCCGACTAACTTGAATTAGAACGAGGTCTACGGCCTGCGGGCTACCCTGGAGGGCACTAACAAGCCATTGGGCCCTCCCTGCCATGCATTAAGCTATAATTGTAAGGGCCGATTTCCACTACGGTACCGTGAGTACCGTGCCGTGAGTACCCATGGTGATTTGCTAACGTGAGGGCAGTTTTGGCGCGAGTTCATTCCGTAGGTCATGCCGTACCGCGCCGTGGACATTCCGGTGCCGAGGGTCTCTGGGGGGTGGAAATGGCATGCCGTGGTACAGTCAGACCTCGCTTATCCGGTCCTCGTTTATCCGGATCCCTCGCCATCCGGAAGAAAATTGTTGGTCACCGATTTACAGCATTATGCCATGCACACATACAGTATGTGTGTTCGATTATCCGGTTCCCTCGCCTATCCGGATATTTTTGTGGAAAACGGATGTGTGCGGTTAAGCGAGGTCTGACTGTATTCCGTGAGGTCGAATACAGTGTGTAGTAGGTATTTTACTACTTCCTGATGGGAAGTTTTTTCTTTCTTTTGTATTTGTAGTACGAAGTGTTTTCTTGGCTTTTGGCATTTCGATTGGTTGATTTTTGAGCTTTCTCCAATCATCTCCCCCGCTATTTTCCCTCCAGACCAAAGTTAGAAATTGGTAAAAATGGTGATCTGGCCTGCCGACGGAATGCACGGAACGACAGTGCGCAGGTGTAAATCACTCTCAGCTTCAAGCTCGTACCGTGGGGTACACGTGAGCCACCCAAATCGTCGGCACGGCACTCACGGTACCATAGTGGAAATCGGCCCTTAGTACCGTAAGACCCGATATAAAAGTCGGCGAGGCGACAACAGTTTTAAGGATTGCAATAAACAGAACCAGCTGAAGCATCATTTCACGAAGGTTTTATAGAGGTGTCACGAACAAATTCTAGAGAAAATCGGGATGAACAAAGAAATAACTATGATGGAAAGCAACTGCGATGCTTGCCGGCCGTCCCTTGACAGTGAGCCATCATGCATCTGCCCCACTGCCCACTTAAGCCCTTCCCGGTACATACCGACAGTGCCGTGGCTTCCATATTGCGCATCATCTCCAAGGCGAGTGCAACGACTGACAATCAACTCCTTGACTATATCCATATCGAGTGTGTCGGGAGAAGACAACGGACCACCTTCAATGAGTGCTTCGCCGTCAACACCCAACATATTAACGTTACGCGGCAGCACCTCCGGAGCTGGCAACCTACCCTGCTGGATTTCTACCAAGACACCTGAGTTGGCTAGCTCAGACTCATACGTGCTGTAAAGTTGTTTGCTATATGCAGCAGCAGCGTCAGCCTTTGATTTGAAACTGCCTTTTGTGACTGGCGAATGAAAAGCACGTACAGCCAAAATCGCTGATTTCTGGTCTTCGCCTCTGGCTAGTCTCTTAGTCCTTCCTGCTCCGTCTGATCGCGTGGCAGACTGAGGAGTGAGGGTCGGCCTCGGGGACCAGCTCAGGGGTCTGGCCTGCCGTAGGGCACGCTCTCAGGCGCTCAGAGGTCCTTCTAGTCTCCATTGAGAGTTATTTTACTGCATCTATAGCAAAAATATTAATCATGAGCGTCAATCTATCCTTGACGACTCACAGCACGGCGGAACAAAACGATGTCGCGAAACGCTGCTGATACCTATCTACTACTATACAATGGCAACTCACTAATTTATCTAACAAATTTAATAAAAACACTACACCAGAAGAAAGGAATCGTCCTCGACAACGATATTTTACTCAAAATTGTAAAGTAATAATAATATTATGCCAAAATAATCACCTCGTTCGTATACGCGTACGCGCGTGTACATGTGGTTCATACATCTCCTCAGTACATTGTACATCAAACATCATGCATGGTACATGTACATTCAAAAGACTATACAGACTGAGAAGAGATTACAGTCTACCAGGTCTACAGACAGTGACCGGTGCACCAGTGTCAGAGATTGTTAGTCCACTGAAAAGAGAGGGTGGTTGTTTCGCTTTGGCGAGCTTCTGGAGAGCCAAGCAGGGTTTGGAGTCCTACGAAGCAGCCAAGATGGCACGCATCTCCCTCGTCGCTGCAGTGTGTTTACTGGGCGCGGTATGCCACAGTCAAGCGGAAGATGGCGTCCTCGTCATGTCATCCATTGTGAGTGAACTTCTTGCAACACATTTTTGATTTGAGGTGTTGTTTTTGTGTCAGTTTGAGCTTGGCCTGCATGCAACTGAACCCAAGATTCCTTTTTGAACCTTTGAAATGAATCCATCTATCTCTATGGAACTCTTCTCTTGTTGTATTATGGGGTAGGAGCGGACAGAATGATACGGCATCGTTCTTTATCGTATCGAAATTTTAAATTTCTCAAGTCCTTGTCCATTTGTTGCATACAATCTTACGGCATCCTGCTCTGTTCCTGATTTCCAAGACTTGTGCTATACCATAATATTGGTTTTTTAGCCCCAGTTTTCGGTAGGCAGCGTAACTCCTGCACCTGACCCTGAGACGCACTGACAGAAGCTTATATTGACCCCATTTTACGAGTAGTCCATCCAGAATTTCTTTTTCCGGAAGTAATAACTTCGTTCACTCTTTTGACGACTTTTCTGCTAGTGCAGAAAGTGGCCATAATAAAAAAAAAGCTATGTGCAATGTTATGCTGCCTAATGTGAGCACGTTGGAGGGACATTCAAAGTTGCCCGAAACTGGTGCTCTTACAAATGGACCCTCTTCTATGAAGAGTTTCGAATCGACTTTCGATACAAAACATGACATATTCCATTCCAGTACGTTTCGAACAAAAGCCAAAAAAGGATTCACTTTTTATGTGCAGCTTGTTTCTAGTTCCATATACAGCTGTATGGGTGCCAGTTTTAGAGTGGTTGTAGTCTGATTTTGAATGTGCAATTTTGCTCTGGACTTTTTGTGGGCCCGGAGCTAAACAAATGTCAGTTTCTCAAATTTGGCACTTGGTATGTTCGGTTGCGCTGAACCTATCTGGGTGCTTTTAACTTGAAAATTCCTAATTTTGTTTGTTGGTGCTGTGTTGATCTCTGGCTGTTTGGCAGGTATATCGCCATGGTGATCGATCTGCCATTGACACATTTCCAACCAACACGGTCGGTGAGTCTGATTGGCCGCAGGGATTTGGTCAGCTATCTCAAGTGAGTTCCATGGTGTCTGTGTGTGCGCGCGTGTGTGTGTGTGTGTGTGCGCGCGCGTGCGTGTGTGTGTGCTTATCCACAAAGTGGTCCGCACTCATGCATGCATAGTTGTGATGGCGTTGGTGCAGTGACGTTGCTGGTCATACATTTGTGTTGTGTCGAAGTACAGAGGTGATAGGGTAACATCCGACCCCAGGACCCCAGCACCGGTGCGCTAGCTCTGCACCAACATGTTATGCAGTCACACCAGCCTAACAGCAGGTCTGTTTTTGTGCATGGGGTTGAATTCCGCTCACCACTGCCAGCAGCAGCACCACCACGCACCAGCACCACACACCACTAGCACCAGTACTGTATGTAATGTTAATCTGTGTGTGTGTGTGTGTGTGTGTGTGTGTGTGTGTGTGTGTGTGTGTGTGTGTGTTGGGTTCACTGTCCAGAGAGGTATGAAGCAACACTATCTACTCGGCCAGTACCTACATGAACGCTATCGCCTTCAGACGGGACTCCTCAACTCGACCTACTACTTGCGCAAGCAGGTGAGCAGTCGGCAGTGTGTGTGTGTGTGTGTGTGTGTGTGTTGGGGGTGGGGGGTGCGCATGCGTACATGCATGTGTGTGTATGTACTGTAAAGTCGCGGATAAAAGCCGGGCTTATAAGCATATAAGCCGCTTTCTGCATCAGGCTTTAATGCAAACCATGCTTATATGCACCACTGACTACGCGACACGCGTAGATCTACCACTGACTACCGGTATGGCAGTTTTGCTATGTACCGTACATAGCGCATGCACTCTTGACCTACCCGATCCGCGCTGGCATAGAAGCCAGGCTTCTACGCGCGACAGGCTTATATGCATTTGACCCGTTTGATTTTCAGGCTTCTATCCGCGATGTGCTTGTATGCAAACCACCCGGCTTTTATCCGCGACTTCACGGTATGCGTGTGCTGCATTTGTGTCTAGTTCAGAGTGTTCCTTTTCCAATGTTCCTTTATACGTTCCTAGTCGTTCAGCCTGGCCGAGTCTCGGGCGAGCCATGAAATTATACTGTTTTTATTCTAAGTACTGGCAGACTCCATCGCAGGCCTTTACACATTAGCGCACCTCAACTCAACACACACTCTAAACAGTCAACTGACTGGAAACACGGTCTCTTTGCTGCGTACAGCACTTGTAGTGTTAACACCGTGATGATGATGATGATGATGGGCCAGGCGGCCAGGCCCCGGAAATTTGGTGAACACTTCAAGCGACGTATGCAGCAAAGGGAGAGCGTGTTCTATTTGTTTGAGTTGAGGGACCCTAGACTGTAATACTAAGAGGACTGCCACACTTCGGGCTCTTCAACAACATCTTGAACGTTTTCACTGGTATACTTTCAAGCCTTGTCGTCAGGTGAAATACAGGCAAGAGCAAATGAACAAGGACAATGGATGGACGTGGATGGAGAATGAAGTGTGTCCTTCTTCTTTGTATGATCGTACTCTTGTCTCCGAGGAAACTGTACCCTAGGCTGTTTCTAGATATTCTTTCTTGCTCTTGTTGTTGTTGTTGTTGTTGTTGTTGTTGTTGTTGTTGTTGTTGTTGTTGTTGTTGTTGTTGTTGTTGTTGTTGTTGTTGTTGTTGTTGTTGTTGTTGTTGTTGTTGTTGTTGCTCTTGTTGTTGTTGTTGTTGTTGTTGTTGTTGTTGTTGTTGTTGTTGTTGTTGTTGTTGTTGTTGTTGTTGTTGTTGTTGTTGTTGTTGCTGGTACTGTGCAGATGAAGGTGCGTAGCACTGACGTGGATCGTACATTGATGAGTGCTCAGTCCCAGCTCTCTACATTCTACCCACCGCAGGGCTTTCAGGTAATCCAACGGTGTGTTTGCTGACGCAAGGTGTTCGTTGTCGTGCACAGGACAGCTTTGATTTCTGTGAAGATTGAGGCGGGGATTCTACTGTGTGCATTGAGGAGAACGTTTCTTTCCTGTTCTGATGGCGTTGAAGTGCCTTCTGCATGTTTAATGTAACGTGCATTTGACTGTGTGCGCGCATGTGTGTGTGTGTGTGTGTGTGTATGTGTGTGTGTGTCTGCAGGTCTTTGAGCCCAGCCTGCCTTGGATGCCACTTCCAGTTCATACTGTACCCAAGCACAATGATTCGGTGAGCTTAGCGAGTCTGTGTTTACCCCCTCTCCCCCCCCCCCTCTCTCTTTCTCTCGCTCTCTCTCTCTCTCTCTCTCTCTCTCTCTCTCTCTCTCTCTCTCTCTCTCTCTCTCTCTCTCTCTCTCTCTCTCTCTCTCTCTCTCTCTCTCTCTCTCTCTCTCTCTCTCTCTCTCTCTCTCTCTCTCTCTCTCTCTCTCTCTCTCTCTCTCTCTCTCTCTCTCTCTCTCTCTCTCTCTCTCTCTCTCTCGCTCTCTCTCACACACACCTAGACCTTGTTACACGTTGCCTTGATAGGTTACACGGTCCCCGTGAGGGGGGGGGGGGGGGTGGGAGGGTGGAAGAGGCTGAGAAGCAGCACTTCTGATGGCCCACTAGATGGTGACGTAGTCGGAACTTCCTGTGACGGGGGCACTCGAATGGGAAGTCACTCGCACACACACACACACACACACACCTGTCCTGTCCTGTTGAGCCACTGCCATGAAGGTTACGTAGGCCCCGGAGGGGCAGCTGAGAGAGAGGAGGAGCACACAGCCCTGTGACGATCCAGGTGATGCGGTAAGCGAAATCGGCGGGAGCAGGCGCAAACACACGTGAAACTCTGACGGTCCTGAACGGTCGGACGACTACAAGTCCGTGAGAAGCGATGACGGGCGCGGCCACGTGTAGACACACACACACACACACACCCTCCCTCCCTTCACCTTACTTTCTCTGCCTTTGTGCATAGTGCATAGAAACTTCGTAGTGTTCTAGTATTCAATACCGGTAAAGTTCAGAGTCCCCTTTGTACTGGTTTTGATCTGCGCGTGTGTGTATGTGTGTGTGTGTATGTGTGTGTGTGTGTGTGTGTGTATGTGTGTGTGTCCAACCTATCGGAAGGCTACCCTCTTGCCAAAGCATTTTGGAAGTTGGACTAGTTTCGGCTCCACAATCCAGTGTGTCGTTACTATATAGCTTTCATGGCTGAGGTTGTTGGTACGTCTGTTGGCCCTGGGTTCCCAGTACCCAGTTGCCGAGGCTGGTTGGTAAAATAACTCCAATTCCACTTCAAGGTACCAGTGCATCTAGTGTCTGCTTTGATCAAAGCAGCGTGCTGTCTATACTGGTTACCCCAGCAAGTGTAGGGTGTGCATAGGTATCTGTCTTGGCCGTCCTATTCCGATGTACTCCGTGTGGTGTAGACCAGGTGTGCATTGGGAGGTCGATTCACATGGCTTCGCCAGTTGTGTGGATTAGACAGTTATCTGGCGCTTGTCTTGATCTGTTTCAATCAGAATCAGATCCGCTAACGTTGCTATAAAGAGAAAATCTGTGGGTGCACATCCAGTGCATTTGCAGATTTGCGTGCTTCTCTTGCGACGGGCGTATACATGGTACATGGTACATGGTACATGTGTGTGTGTGTGTGTGTGTGTGTGTGTGTTACTTGGCTGCAGCTGCTGCGTGCTTACGACACGGCAGCCAACGCCTGCCCGCGCTACACCCAGCTCTACAAGGACATGTCTTCACTGGACTACTATCAACAAGTGCAGAATGAACACCAGGTAACAGCTTGTTGTTTACAGTCTTCTACTCAATTTCACGTGATGCCTTGCGTGCTCGGGCCCGCTGGAACCGGTCCACTTGGTCAGGCCATGACCAGGCCAACGTTTTGGCCACCAGCAACGTGTGTTTACTGCTGATGAGGTCATGTGTATACCCTCCATAATCCATATCATACACAAACTGTATGAAAGTCATGTGACTACCCTCCATATCATACACAAACTGTATGAAAGTCATGTGTATACCCTCCATATCATACACAAACTGTATGAAAGTCATGTGTATACCCTCCATATCATACACAAACTGTATGAAAGTCATGTGTATACCCTCCATATCATACACAAACTGTATGAAAGTCATGTGTATACCCTCCATATCATACACAAACTGTATGAAAGTCATGTGTATACCCTCCATATCATACACAAACTGTATGAAAGTCATGTGTATACCCTCCATATCATACACAAACTGTATGAAAGTCATGTGACTACCCTCCATATCATACACAAACTGTATGAAAGTCATGTGTATACCCTCCATATCATACACAAACTGTATGAAAGTCATGTGACTACCCTCCATATCATACACAAACTGTATGAAAGTCATGTGACTACCCTCCATATCATACACAAACTGTATGAAAGTCATGTGACTACCCTCCATATCATACACAAACTGTATGAAAGTCATGTGACTACCCTCCATATCATACACAAACTGTATGAAAGTCATGTGACTACCCTCCATATCATACACAAACTGTATGAAAGTCATGTGACTACCCTCCATATCATACACAAACTGTATGAAAGTCATGTGACTACCCTCCATATCATACACAAACTGTATGAAAGACTAGAGTATGACCGGACCAATTGAAAACTGCTTCCGCCAGTCTTGGCACGGCAATGAACAGATCAATAATTATACTTATACTATATACTTGGAGTGCACATCCAAGACGTGCTAGAGCTGGTTGCCAGTAAGGTGTTGAGCGTCAGTGCCGTCGGTCAGTGTCGTGCCATGTTATCGCATCGGCTGATTGTTCAGTAACTGGTGGTGTTAGTGGACATTATAGCGTAACTTGTAGTTCCTTTTTTTTCTATAAATCAATATACTGTATTAACTTTAATCCATCGACATGGACTGGCTATGAGAGGAACACGATACGAATGTTGTTGGTGTCGTGTTAGGCGACTCCTGGTGTTAGGCGACTCCTGACCTTGGACAGCCTGTCAAGGAAACCGCTACGCGTCGACTGGTGTCGTACGGGCAAGATCAGGTCTCCGAGGGCTATGGCTCTGATCTACCTATCCCTTGGTACTGTAAAGTGAGAAACTTTCGCTAGAGATTAAGTTTCGCTATTTTCGCGACCATCACACATTCCCGAACATAAATCGCTGCAAACCTCTCCGTACATTGATTATAGACAGTATACAAGATCCGACTGAAGAAATAGAATCGCAAAAGTTTCTCATCGTGAACCAGCCCAATGTATGAAAACGCTAAATTTGCACGCCGCAAAGGTTTGTCGCTTTACAGTAGCTGTTAGTGGTGCACTAGCTCAACCTCTGCTTCAACCCACCGCCTATGCTACCAAACTCTCTCAACGAGTGGCCCTTAGGGTATACAGCACTGCCGGGTGCTGATGAACGTAGCGTCCAAGAACGAACAGGCTAGAGCCTCACCAACTATAGCGTTCCGATATCTACTCGGTAACTCCCAATATGTGCATGTACTGGTGTACGTGTAAATAAACATGACCTAGGCTACGCGGCTGACCTGCAGTTCTTCCACGCCCGACAGTCCTGTAGTCTGGATATCTATTTATTTATTTATTTATTTTATTCCAAGCAATACATGGCTGGGGTAGCCAATGACCACTTTGCGTGGCGATTGCAGGGTTTTTATAGCCAACCATGGCTAACAAGGGAAATTGCCAGCGCTTCGATCGCATTCTGCAATCTGCACCCTTACTATGATGTTGTGTACGTGTGTGTGCGTGGGTTTTTGCTGCAGGAGTTCATCGACGATGTTGCTAAAAAGGCTGGTATAGATTATGCCCTCAGCCTTGGCAACATCTACACCATCGAGGATCCTCTCTTCTGCCAGGTAAACTGCAGCGCGTACTAGCTTGCTTCTTTCTTGGTTGCGTCGTGGTGGTGGTGGTGGTGCGTGTAGTGGTGTGAGTTTACCGAGTGTAATGTACAGTCAGTATCGCCTATAGCGTTGGTGTTTGATTTTGAGCATTTTATCACTGTAAGCGATATATTACTATGACCGATACTGCATGCAATGTATGCGAGTGGAGTGTCAAACGACTCAGCGCGCCGTGTACATACGCACTACATACATGTACAATGTCTTGCAGCTGGCTGTAGCTCCTGACACAGAAAATCAGCATTTCCTCATGATGGAGGCCTATTTTGGCAACTAATACTTGTACGAGTAAAACTCACCAAACAATACTCACTGGACAAGTTCTTCACGAAGAAGTAACACCCTGTTCTCCTCTAACATCGCTGGAATTTACATCAATCACTATAACCGATGCAAAAATAATGTAATAAAGGTCTTTTGAAATATAAATTTGATCACTATAGGCGATATATTACTATAGACAATTATTACTATACGCGATAACTGTGTATACTTAGTTATGACAAATGAAAATGAATTTGAGAAATTGATCACTATATCCGGTATATTACTATAGCCGCCAACCTTATAGGCGATACGGACTGTATAACTAAGGTAACGCAATGCAACACCAGAGCATTAGCACTGGAAGTCAATACATTACACTCTGTAAACTCACAGCACCGTCTACACGATTGTAGTCTTGCATGTGCGAGTGTGTGTGTCTGGTTGACTGTGTGTCCTGTGTATGTGTGTGTGTGTGTCTCGTTGATTGTGTGTCCTGTCTGCCGTCTCGTCATGGCCGTTCGTCACGTAATTGATGCGCCGCTGTGAAAGGCAGTGTAATTGCCGTGGCTGTTCCGTCAAGGAGTAGTCTTTGACCTGGTTTAGTTGTTGTCGTTTGGTTGTGTCCTTCTCAGTATGAAGAAGAAAAAATAATACTGGTGTATTACACTGCTCTTTCTCACAGAAAGAATGGTGATCTTCCAGGCACCTTCCATAACCCATCCCCTCCCTTGCCTCTGAACATCTTACTCACCTGTACTTGTGTGACTAGGCGCGTAACACCACAGTTATAGGTGGTTCGGCTGGAGGGGGTGCAGGGTTTCTCTCTCTCTCTCTCCCCCCGGGAATTTTGTGAAATTAGGGTGCAAAATCCTGCATTCGGGGCACTTTAGGCATTGTGTTAAAAAAAGTGGTCCGGCCAAAGTCGGACCGGCCGGACTGGCTGCTACGCCCCTGGTGGTGATCCTTCTTTGCCGTGCAGTTTGCTTTTCTTTGCCCGTTCTGGCTAGCCGTTGGGTATGGTATGGTCATGGTAGATTTTTCTTCTGACCAGACGACGCTTGCAGACACCAGCACGAACACTGCACCAGTCACACTCCGCAACAGCTAGAAGTTGCTCCTGACAAGCCTTGGAGTGTGGCTGGTGCAGTGTTCGTGCTGGTGTCTGCAAGCGTCGCCTGGTCTCGTCTGGTCGAAAGAAAAATCTACCACTACTATTTGACGGACCTACTGAAGATGGCATCACCAAATTATGGTACAGTCAGACCTCGCATAACCGCACACATCCGTTTTCGACAAAAATATCCGGATAGGCGAGGGAACTGGATAATCAAACACACATACTGTATGTATGCATGACATATGCTATACATCGGTAACCAACGATTTTCTTCCGGATGGCGAGGGATCCGGATAAGCGAGGTGTGACTGTACGGTCAGTCATCATGTTTCTTTGGCTGCTCTTGCCTTGAGGCAAAGAGTCACAGGCCTACATCTCCGCTGCCCAGTCCTCTTGCACAAGAATAGAACCAACTTGAGGACGGATCTAGCGGTGACTTGAGGTTTTAGTCTGCACTGAGTACTAATATCCAGGCAGGCAAACTCCTCTTGTGCAAGTTTTCATGTTGTGTCTGTGTCTTACCTTGTGTGTGTGTGTGTGTGTGTGTGTGTGCGTGCGTGCGTGCGTGCGTGCGTGTGTGCATGTGTGTGTGTGTGTGTGTGCATGTGTGTGTGTGTGTGCATGTGTGTGTGTGTGTGCATGTGTGTGTGTGTGTGCATGTGTGTGTGTGTGTGTGCATGTGTGTGCATGTGTGTGCATGTGTGTGTGTGTGTGTGTGCATGTGTGTGTGTGCATGTGTGTGTGTGCATGTGTGTGTGTGTGTGCATGTGTGGGTGGGTGCATGGGTGTGTGTGGGTGCGTGTATGTGTGGGTACATGGGTGGGTGTGTATGTGGTTGTTATTACTTCAGAGAGAGCACAATCTGTCGCGGCCTGCCTGGGCTACAGATGAAGTACTGGACAAGATGCACAGGCTGGGCAGTATCAGCATGGGGCTGATGTTTCAGACGAAAGAGATGCGCATGCTTACGTCCGGTAAGCCGTGAACACTTGTGCACTGCTCACTGTGCCTCTGTGTGTGTGTGTGTGTGCGTGCGTGCGTGTGTGTGCCTGCGTGTGCAGGGTTCATAGAACCCTTGAAAATGCTGAAGATGCATCTTCTGGCCATAGTGGCCACTACTACTCGTAGTATGTTCAGTTGTGCTGCAGCAGGTGAAATGCGACCCAAAGTACGTACTGGACACCCTTGTCTTGCACCATCCTTGATGCGCTGGAAGTGGTGCAACTACTGCTGGACGTACACAATCATGTACAGTGTGCCATGTACAGTGATGTCTAATGTCAACTGGTGTGGGGTGGCCAGTGTTGTACATAGGGAGGATGGGACTTCCCCCTAGCACGGCTGCACTTGCAGATATGATGATGAGCTGCTACAGCTGACAAGCACAGTCGACTTATGATACGTCACACCCTTTTGAAATCCGGACGATTTATACTTTTGCATAATTACACTATAAGTCACGCAGTCGCGATAAGTCACGCACTTTTTTTAATTCCAAGATTCGGGTGCGTGACTTATTGAGAGTAGTAGACTGCGCAGTCAAACCTAATAAACCAATCCAATCCAAACCTTGCCAACAGTGGCCCTCGATCGGCCACGGGAGACATGGTGTTATCCGCATGATGTCATTATTTGTGACATTGAGTGCGTCAAGCATGTACTTTGGGTCGGATGTCACCTGCTACACCACAAGTGTGTTCACAACTGGCGTGTGTACACGTGAAACCATGCATTCGTGCGTATTCTTGCTGGCTTTTGAGGCGTCATGCGTATGGAAACGCGACGAAAATGGAAGTCATTCCATGTTGGAATTTTCGCCGCGTATCAGGTGCGTACGTACACGCCAGTCACTTTGACTGGTGGAGTCAAACAATTAGTACTCGAAGGCGTCACATGCTCTAAATAGGACTCGAATTGATGTTTTTTTTTGTGAAAGCCTCAACGAGTGTTTGAGCAGGCGTGAGCCGCAAGCGTACAACGTCCACGCGCCAGTTTTAAGCTGTGAAATGTCACTGTCCTAAACGCTGTCCTGCACTACTGTCACACTCTGCATGCACTACTGTTCACACTCTGCATGGCCTCATAGAACTACTGTTCACACTCTGCATGGCCTCATAGAACTACTGTTCACACTCTGCATGGCCTCATAGAACTACGTGTGTGTGAACTACTTTGTCTCAGTTCAGTCTGCTGTGAGTTCAGTGATGTAGACTAGTGTGTACAGGTGTCTCTCTGTGTGTCGTGTGTGTGTGTGTGTGTCACTCTCTCTGTGTGTGTGGTGTGTGTGGGTGTGTGTGTGTCTCTCTGCTCTTTCTCTCTCTTCTCTCTGTCTCTCTCTCTTTCTCTCTTTCTGTCTGTCTGTCTCTTTTTCTCTCTGTCTCTCTCTGTCTCTCTCTGTCTCTCTCTCTCTCTCTCTCTCTCTCTCTCTCTCTCTCTCTCGCTCTCTCTCTCTCTCTCTCTCTCTCTCTCTCTCTCTCTCTCTCTCTCTCTCTCTCTCTCTCTCTCTCTCTCTCTCTCTCTCTCTCTCTCTCTCTCTCTCTCTCTCTCTCTCTCTCTCTCTCTCTCTCTCTCTCTCTCTCTCTCTCTTCTCTCTCTCTTGTATACCGGGCTACGTACTTATCCTACTGATGCCAGCTGTGTGTGTCTGTGTGTGCGCTTATGTATGTGTGTACATGTGTGTACATGTGTGTACATGTGTGTACATGTGTGTACATGTGTGTACATGTGTGTACATGTGTGTACATGTGTGTACATGTGTGTACATGTGTGTACATGTGTGTACATGTGTGTACATGTGTGTGCATGTGGTATTGGCTGTTCAGGTGTGCTGATCAATGAAATGCTTGTCAACATGAACAATCGCAGTGTGGAGCTGGAGTTGCCCACTGAAAACCTCTTTGTCTACTCAGCTGTAAGTCGCCATTGAACTAGGGGTTCATCTGCATGTGTAGCCCCTATCCCATCTTGTTGCCTCTCTATCATACCTATCGGGAAGTGTGCACATAATTATGTGAGCGTGTACTGTATACATTTGTGTGTGTACGTGTGCACATCCGTGCATGCTGCTTGTGTGTACGTGTTTTGTGCTGTTCAGCACGACACCACTGTCACCGCAGTCCTACAAGGTCTGGACATCTGGAACGGAGAGCAGCCACCGTACGCATCCTGTGTCTTTATAGAGCTTTACAAGCCAATGGACGGCGGGTGAGTGCAGTACCGGTAGCTAAGGGGGCGTTCGAATTGTCTTCATCAACTGTTCGAACACATTTTTTAAAGAGATTAGTTGAAGTGTCCCAATAGAACGATTTCTACCATTTTAGAGTTTTTCAGTGGAATTGTCATGGCGATGATGACGTCAGATCAGATCGACCATCTCGACCTAGCTATTCCAAACTCCTCAGAACTAATCCACCTCTCCCATCGGATGAGGTTGTGGAGTTTCGAGGAGTTTTCAGGGAGTTTCATTTTTCTGAAGAGGCCAATAAGGCCACCTTTTCAGAAAAAACGAAACTCTTAGAAAGTCAAAGAGTGACAATTTGAACGCGCCCTCACTTTCTGTCCAGTCTCGCCGAACGTTGCTTTGTTAACAGCCACATCGAGTCAGCCCTGATTTCTTGGTATGTCAACACAAAAACCAGGCTGTGTGACAGTTGTCCATCTTGAAAATTAGGCTTGTGTAAAAGGAGAACACCTTTTTATGGACAAGCTTTTCTACAACACAATGTTGTATGCTATTCTTCTACCCCCGCTCTGCAGTGAACACTATGTTCGAGTGTTGTTCCGCAACGAGACCGATCGTAACGACACAGTGCCGGTTGACCTCACTCCAAAGCTACCGATGTGCGGTGGCCAGACCCAGTGTCCCCTTAGTAACTTCACACGGTATGGACTTGATCTCTCTCTCTCTCTCTCTCTCTCTCTCTCTCTCTCTCTCTCTCTCTCTCTCTCTCTCTCTCTCTCTCTCTCTCTCTCTCTCTCTCTCTCTCTATCTCTATCTCTATCTCTCTTTCTATCTCTCTTTCTCTCTCTCTCTCTCTCCCTCTCTATCTCTCTCTCTCTCTCTCTCTCTCTCTCTCTCTCTCTCTCTCTCTCTCTCTCTCTCCTCTCTCTCTCTCTCTCTCTCTCTCCTCTCTCTCTCTCTCTCTCCTCTCTCCCTCTCTCTCCCTCTCTCTCCCTCTCTCTCCCTCTCTCTCTCTCTCTCTCTCTCTCTCTCTCTCTCTCTCTCTCTCTCTCTCTCTCTCTCTCTCTCTCTCTCTCTCTCTCTCTCTCTCTCTCTCTCCCTCTCTATCTCTTTCTCTCTCTCTCTCTCTCTCTCTCTCTCTCTCTCTCTCTCTCTCTCTCTCTCTCTCTCTCTCTCTCTCTCTCTCTCTCTCTCTCTCTCTCTCTCTCTCTCTCTTGTTTGTGTGTATGACTTTTTGCATGTGTCTGCATGTTTCCAGAATGGACTTTCATGCCCATACGCACACAGATACGCGCACACGCTCGCCAGTATACATAGTTGGTCAAGCAAACCGCAATACACTTGATCGTGCATATACCGTAAAGTACCGCCAGAGCGCCCCACCATCTCGTCCTTTCGTGGTCATATTGTGGAGGTCTACGGTCTGTAGGTCAGACGACGCGAACCTTGTACGCATATTCCACATTTTGCAGTCTATCCGTACCTTCGAGCGGACACAAGCTCCTCACGAAAAACTGCCAAGTGTGCCCTTAGAAAACTACGGTTCTCACATCGTACAAACTCCGTTGCACTCTGCCATTCAATTTTCCTTTCCCTGGCTGTAAAATCAAGGTGAGGCGCTCTGGCGGTACTATAATTATGGTAGTTGTAGAAGACCATCACCTTATCTCTGTCTTCGTCGGATGTTTAGCCAACAATCATGGATAAGAAAAAGAGGAAATGTTATGAGGTCATGGCTGTACATGTACTGTAAATCAACTAATTTTCGCTGGCGATTTAAGTTAGCTGATTTCGCCGGTCGATGTCAATCGGCCAGATTTAATCGCCGGCAAAAGTTTGTCACCAGAACCAAAATTAATGTCAGTTTGGGTCACTCTTATGCCGCCGGACTCTCTGTAAAAAAAAAAAAAAAAACAGGAGACAGGGGTGTAGAAACTACGCGGACCTTTGTGCACTATTGTCACTATACCACTAGTACATGCGCACACGAAACATCAATCACTTTTTCGGACTCTTGCACGCCCGCGGCGAAAGTTTAGTGGCGGCGGAAAGCGTTTTTTGGAGATCGGCGAAAGTTTTGCACCGGCGAAAATTTGTTGATTTTACAGTATACTATGATCTGGTTACTTTGGTGGACAATTACCATAGTTTTCGAGTATACCGCGCATTGGAGTATAAGCCCGCCCCCCCCCCCCCCCCCCCCCCCATCTGTTTGCCCGAAATGCAGACATCGACCCTATTTATCGCCGTTAATTCATCATCGGAGTACAAGCCGCACCTCTTTTTTTTGTATGTGAATGTTTGAGTGTTCAAAGTGCGCTTATACTCCGGAACAATACGGTAGTCCAAGCTATCAACCTGTTGTTCTTCTGATCACTTTTTTCTTTTGTGTTTATAAAAACGTATTCGTGCTGGATGCTTGCTGACTTGCCTGTTGACTGCGTAGCTTTTACAGGACATCGTCGTGGACAACTGGTACAATGCGTGTCATGAAAACTCAACTAGCTCTGGTAAGTCTCGATCTCTCTGTATTGTATGTATTAAATTTTGTGTATATGGATCTGTGCTCTCCCTGTCTGTCTGTCCGTCTGTCTGTCAATCTGTCCGCCCATATGTCTGACCATCCGTCTGGTTGTCCGTCCGTTCGTCTGGTTGTCCGTCCGTTCGTCTGGTTGTCCGTCCGTTCGTCTGGTGTCCGTCCGTTCGTCTGGTTGTCCGTCCGTTCGTCTGTCTCTCCGTATATCTGCCTGTTGTCTTCTCTCTCTCTCTCTCTCTCTTCTCTCTCTCTCTCTCTCTCTCTCTCTCTCTCTCTCTCTCTCTCTCTCTCTCCTCTCCCTGCTGGCTAATGGCCATAACGGCTTGGCGTTGTCACTAAACAAAATGCTTTTTTCTCTTTTTAGACCAAGAGTGGTACATATGATTAACAAAGATAGAAATATTTACTATACTTTCCAGACGTTTCGTCGTTCTGAACAACATTTTCAGTAAAAGAATGATTTTGATTTCACAATGAGAGTGGCTAACTAATAGCTTGTCCACCAACCCGTTGTCACTAATGCTGCTGGCTGGTGGTCATAGCAACTAGTCAGTCCTGCTGGATGGTCATGACAGCCATTCGTTATTTTCTTCTCTGCTTCTGGCACCTTCCAATGTGTAATGGTGTGTGCTGCTGTTGCTGGTGCCTGTTGCTACTGCCGCTACTTTTGGTTCTGGTTGGGAGTAGGTCTATCATCGGTGTCCATCGCATCAATCTCCATTGCGGGCGTGTTCTTCATCGCGTTTGTTGTTATGCTCCTCCTGCTATTGAGCCGGCGACGCTCCACTGCCGGCTACTCTGCCGTGCAGGGTGTGTGAGCATCGGCCAGTAGGTATTTTACTACTACCTGGTGAGCAGCAGGGAGTAGGTATTTTACTACTCCCGGTGAAGGCAGAGTAGATATTTTAGCTACTTCCTGGTGAACGGGTGGCGTCAGTGCTAGCGCATGTACTGCATAGAATTGATACAAGCATCAGCAGCAGCAGAGCCGCTTGTCTTCGGCTCGTTATCCCCATCACATTGCCAATTATTTTGTGCGTAGGTTAGATGTGTGTGGTGTGTGATTTTGCGGTTTCCGCACTGGGTACGGAATGTGTCATCTGTGGTTGTTTTTCGTGTTTTGCAGCTTCTCGCCATTTTTAATTTGTTTCTCATCCTCGACTTGAAACTGTTTTTGCACATTTCATTTCTTTAGACGGGCCTTTATACCCTTCCCCTCCCTGAAAAGAGAGGTTTATAGTGTTAGTTATTGCCCCCCCCCCCCTCCCCTCCCTGGGTTTAGGATGAATGCATGCTATCGCAACCTGGGGTAGGAATATTCTAGGTGCAAATGTAAGATTTGATCTTTATTTATGGATATTTAGTAGTTGCAGTAGAAATGGCATTGCTGATGGATATCACTTTCCTAATTTTGATATCAAATAATGCAGCTAGCTGGCTGAGCGAACAACAGAGAGAACTCGATGATCTCATGATGGTGATTGTGTGTGTGCGTAACAACAACAGTCAGCTAGCAGTACCTATGGTATCTATACGGCGGTGCTTGCTTGCTAACAAGTTTAATAGTGAATTAATTCGGAAACCCTTGCGATCCGAACTGTAGAACTGTGGCAAAGAAACTGAGGAAATTGACCAATTGTGAGAATCCAGGTGCAAGTTGGTCTGTGCTCGCAGATCACAAACTAAAAAGTGTGCAGATTTACTACAGTATTGGACACTGAGTCTGTATATAGTGTTGACAAATGGCATGGCAATTGAATAATAAGAATTATTGTTTCTATCGGGGATTCAGTTCAACAATTTTTGAATGCATAAGAACTGGTATAGTGCGAGAGAGGGGGGGGGAGAGAGAATTGATGTCTCCTCTTACAAATCAGAATTGTCTTCGGTGAGCGCAACTGTAGCTGAGCACCTGCTGGGACTGTCTGGTGGCAGTGGCGGGCTGGAGTCCAATCTGTTGCCAAGTACGATCGACTCGTCCATGGGTACATGCCGAGACGTCGTGGCAACCGCCTCGTGGCGAGACTGCACGACAGAACACACATGCACACACACGCAAGCACACACACACGCAATGGCCGCGGGACAGCAAGATTGACATGCCTGGGTTAGGGCCGATTTCCACTACGGTACCGTGAGTGCCGTGCCGTGAAGGTGATACTTTGCCTATAAGGGCGCGTTCAGACTACCGTGAATCCCGTCAAACCGTGAATAGCGATAAACCGTGAAGGACATTCACACTACCCATAGCTCCGGTGAGAAGGCAGTCTTGCCTGTTCATATGGTGAAGTAAAATAAAGAAACAACAACAACTACCTATAACAAACTAGCGTTACCGTGAAGTTTTGCAGCTCTCACCGCGGCACTGACAAGGGATTTTCCCTTTTTTCCCAGCGCGCATGCAGCCTGAGCACTTTTTTACTGTGGCAGTAAAACTTTCCCGCCGGTAACGTGCCAATAACGTCACGTGATCAAATCACCTTGGAAACTTTCCCATTCCGTCACTTTTTATCGGTGGTCTGAACGCACCCTAACCGCACTGCTAATCGCTCCCCGGAAGCTTGCCTGGACATTCGGGCGCAGGGTTTCTGGATGCGGCAGCAGCATGCCTCTTTTGATGTCCGTAACCGGCCAAAGGCAACCCTGCAGTCGCGTACAGATACACTGCGTCAGCTCAAGACCCGCGAGCAGGTGAAGAAGAGGCAGTATTGCGCTCGGGTAAGGCCACACGTTTTTATTTCTATGTTTCTCGTCACCTAAAAATCTAAAAACGTATGCGAGAGGTGGAAAAAAATAAAAATGACCGAAAAATATAAAAAAGTTTATTAGACCTTTGTTCACACTAAAATCCAGCAATACACCATGCAAAATAGCATCCATAGTTAGCAACTAGTATGTGGTAGGCACTTTTGTCACAATCTGTGCATGTGCAGCTAGATTTCGCACAAAAAATGCCGACCTCGCATCATGTGTCGCGCTGGCCAGGCCACATTAGGGAGGTTTCGCTCTACGTAATTACGTATGAAAATCCGTATGTCGTACACGCCGGGGAGCGAGGGCAACTTTCATACGTAAAACTCTCTACGGATATCCGTAGGAAAGCTGTTTCCTACGTTGGGGTCTCTGTAGGACTTTTTGAAATATTTTTCACATTTTCAGAGTTTATCCATGGCAAAGTTCAAGCCGCGCGAAATACAAGGTACACACACCGTACACCACGTGCAAAATACGATGGAAAACGCGGTTTCGGTTCGTGGTGCATGCGGTGGGCGCATGCAGCCAACGCGTCTCCAAAGCAACAAGGCATGTTTAGCAGTCGTGGAGAAATCACGTAGAGCGAAACCCAACAGCTCTGATTTTTACGTATGAAAATTACGTGCAGTTCCTTCGTTATTTTCATACGTAATTCCGTAGAGCGAAACCTCCCTATTATGTACACCTGCATGAGTGTGCTGGTCCCACATGCACAGTCAGTGCAGCACAGTTTTTTTTTCTTCCAGACTCCTGAATCGTATGCGCGCGGGTGACGAGAAACATAGGAATAAAAACGTGTGGCCTAACCAGTGTTGAGAGACGGTCTTTTACATCACTAGAGTTTTCTGCAACGGGCATGTGTGGCCCTGAATCATCCTTTTTATGAAGAGTTTGGTAGCTATCATGATTATTGGAGAAGAATCATGATTTGCAGTATTCAGTAGTAATGGGCCAGTTAATTTGTATGTTGTCACTGTCTCTGCTTCGTTGGGCAATCACATGTATCAGAGGGTTCCGGGCATCGTATCGGCGTAGGAATAGGGCCTTTAGGGCCCAGCTGCCGGTCTTTGCCAGTACGGTAATGTCTGTGTGGGCTCGTTCACCTAGGGTTTTTTCTTCTCTTTTTTTGTTTGTTCCAATTGATTTTTACTTTTTTTTGTGTTCCAATTGGTTTACTAGCATTTAAATTGATTTTTGTATTTCAAAGTAGTTTATTGGATTTGAATTTGTTTGATGATATGTGCAATTCATTTTACCCATGGTGATTTGCTCACTCGAGGGGCAGTTTTGGCGCAAGTGCATTCCGTGGCTCGTGCCGGGGCCTTCCGGTGCCGAGGGCTAAGGGCCGATTTCCACTACGGTACCGTGAGTGCCGTGCCGACGATTTGGGTAGGTCACGTGTACCCCACGGTACGAGCTTGAAGCTGAGAGTGATTTACGCCTGCGCACAGTCAATCCGTGTATTCCGTCGGCAGGCCGGATCACCATTTTTATCAATTTCTGACTTTGGTCCTGAGGGAAAATAGCGGGGGAGATGACTGGAGAAAGCTCAAGAATCAACCAATCGAAAAGCCAAAAGCCAAGAAAAAACTTCGTACCTCAAATACAAAAGAAAGAAAAAACTTCCTTTCAGGGAGTAGTAAAATACCTACTACTCACTGCATTCGACCTCGCGGAATACCACGGCATGCCGTTTCCACCCCCCCTGACCTGACTGTGCGCAGGTAGATCTACTAGGTGCAAATCACTCTCAGCTTCAAGCTCGTACCGTGGGGTACACGTGACCTACCCAAATCCGTCGGCACGGAACTCACGGTACCGTAGTGGAAATCGGCCCTAAGTCTGTATTCGGACTAGGTACAAAACAGCCTGTAAGGCGAGACCAAAATAAAATCGAGATTCCCGGGCAGGACCCACGAGAAATTGGTGCGGGCGGGCGAATTATTATTATTATTATTTTTATAATTATTTTTCCTTTGTATGTATCCATGGCATACTATACTCTCTTTTTACAGTATTTTCCGGTAATTTTGTTAATTTTTTTACAGACAACAGGTACGCGGTTTTCCCGTACAAAGTTTTGTATTTCGGCCACCGACAGCCTTGAGTCGTACATCAGGGAGTCGTTCAAGTCCGGGCGTTTGTGTGACTCCCTGTCGCAGATCTACTCACAAGATCAGTACTGTACACGGATATGAGATGTTCAAATTTTTTCGACTTCGGCTCGATGTTGGTGCGGGAGGGCCTGGGAATCTCCATATTTTTGGTCTCGCCCAAGTCACATTTACATAGAAGTTTCCAAGACAACTACAATAATTTGGCGGGGAAGCCTAAAAGCTGCCCAGGCAGGGTGCAAGCCCTTGTACAAGGCAACTTCCTGCATTTATCGTACCTTCATCAGCCAGTCGTACAAGCGTACAGACTTTGTACGACTGCTTGCTGCTTGCACGCATCTCGTTGCGCAATTGCGCAGGCCGCAAGTTCAACGGTTAACTATGATGTAAACTACAGTCTGAATGTAGGCTTGGAAATATGTGACATTTTAGGCTTTACAAGTATGTGATTTTGTACTGGATGTTCTATGTACGTAGTCTGTAGTCTGTAGTCTGTAGTCTGTAGAGGGCCTTACAGACATCCGGATCCAGGGAGTCTACTGAGGGCGTTCGATTTAATATGCCCGCGAATCAATTCATGAATCCATTCATGAATCGATTCCAGGGCTCATGACATGAAAATCGAACGACTTGAATGCAAGCAAATGGATTCATGAATCGATTCAAGTGCGTAATCGGACGCACCCACTGAGTGCGTTCGATTATGCACGCGAATCGATTCACGAATCGATTCATGAATCGATTCGCGCTATTCACATCACCCCATGTGAATAGAGTGAATGGATTCCGAATCGATTCCAGGGCTCATGATCTGAAATCGAACGACTTGAATGCATGCAAATGGATTCATGAATCGATTCAAGGTGTAATCGAGCGCACTCACTGTAATGGCAGAGCGAAGAGGAGGGGGGGGGGGGTAGCATACTCGGTATTCTTTATCATTCACGTACCTTTCTACCCCTGTAACAGTCGATGGCCTGAATTGCTACGCTGACGAGAAACAAAAAGGACCAGAAAGCAAGCAAAGCCACGGCCGCAGTCGTGTAGCACCATGAAGCATTGGTTGTCTTGGTGATAGTCTGGTGCTCCTGGCCAGCTTGCGCAGTTGTAACCATAGTAACGGCTGGTACATGGCCAAAGACTGAAGTGGCGGTCGGTAGATTGGTACGTTGTGTAGCCTGCGTCGTTGGTCGAGTGGCCTAGCACTGCTGGCGCTTGCAGTATAGTATCTTTGCCGGTGCTGCTAGCCAGGCGATCGGTCGGCGCCTGGCTGCTTGGTATACCGCTGGGATCGCCGCTGACAGTAGAGTTTTCGTCGTTGGTGCTGTTGCCCGAGTGATCTGTTGGCATAGTGATGGAAGTTGCGTTGGCTAATGTCCAGTTACACCTATCGGTGTTGGGAGCTAACGACTCGTGTCCGTACTGGGCGGTACACTTG